TATCAGCTGATCGACTAACAGCTGGCTCGGTTGGCGGGAGTGAGTTGCCAGGTATTGTTTTTGTTCTTGGGTTTTTCTATTTGAACCTCTTATTTTTATGTCGTTATCTCGAGTTTCGTCTCTACTATCCGATAACTAATGCGTATTTCCTAAAAAAGAATAATCGCGTTACTTAAAGAGGACGTAGCGAGGAAGAAATAAACGGCCATATGAAAAATACGCTGTAAAATGCCAATTGATTGAGTTGCAGAGTCGTCCATTTTCATCTATTTTTTATTTATTCATTTGCTTCGCTTATATAATCTCTCGTATCTGCTATAGCTAAAGAATTAAGTAATTAATGATACACTGAGGAAAATCTGAAGCAGATATAAGCGTGCTGAACTACAGTTTTTTAAGTTGTCGACATGAGTGAGCAATTTAACTGTAATGTTACCAATGAAAGCTATTCACTCCAGTTCTGATTTTTTATTCATACAATACCTGGTATTTTCTAGTTTAATGTAGTACTATTGAGTGCCGATACAGGGTATCTAATTTCTAGTATCGGCTGTTTCGGGTGTTTAGAAGGAAAAGTGTACAAAGGTTAGGGTACAAGCACACTGGAGATAAATTAGGCTACGATAGGCTTTATCACACCTCCCTCTCCCCCCCCCCCCCCCCCTCTCTCTCTCTCTCTCTCACTCACTCACTCACTCACTCACTCACTCACTCACTCACTCACTCACTCACTCACACACTCACTCACTCACTCACTCACACACACACACACACACACACACACACACACACACACACACACACACACACACACACACACACACACACACACACACACACACGACATCCCCCTCCCAAGACGTTCTCCTCAAGACATCAGCTTCCCAGGACGTCTTCCCCCCAAGACACCCCCGAAGAGCCCATTATATTCAGAGCGATAAGCGGTTCTATGTTGATCATGCTTAAAACTATTGACTATCCCTTTGAACAGTTTCTTACTAAACTCCCTTCCCTGATCCGTTAAAACTGTCAGAAGTGTGCCAAATTCCGCAAATATGTTGCTAATACTCTTACGTGGTAGTGCTCTCACCACTGAATAACGTGCAAGGAAATCGATTACCACTAATATATCCTCGTTTCCCTCCTCTGTGAAGGCAAACGGTCCCAATGGAACCACTGAAATGGCCTTGCAGTAATGAATATCTCTTTAGTGATATCAGTGGATGTGCCCGTCCTCTGAACTTATCGCAAGTGACGCACTGTTGGCAATACTTAGCCATGACCTTGTACATTCTGCACCTTGTAAAGATACTCTTCGCACGTTTTTTTTTTTTTTTTCTCTTCTGCACCCTGTCCACCCAGCGGCGCCAAATGTACTAATGTCATGGCCACATGTACTAAACTACAGGCACGCACAGTATTTCTACATCTACTTCTCATTGTATTCGATGATCATATTTGTTTATAGAGGTTTTGGTCCATACAATAATCTTCTACCACCAGGTTTGGATTAACCTTCTGGCGATCAATACCAGTTTTAGTCTGGAGGTACAGTAGCGGTATTATATTTCAGTCCACTTGTTGCGTCCCGCTTTCGTACACCTGATAATAACATCAATGTAAACATAGAGTGAATAATATATATATATATATATACATATATATATATATATATATATATATATATATATATATATATATATATATATATATTTTTTTTTTTTTTTTTTTTTTTTTTTTTTTTTTTATGAATGAGCCGAAAACCCTAGGCTATTTGTAAGAATGTGATTGGTAGAAGAGTATTAGTATCTACTTTTATAAACTACGTAAACCATTTTATATTTCGTTTTCTTCAAATAAGTTATAACAATACATGTAGTATTAGCTATCATTGACTTTGTTGTGGGATTTTTTTTTTCTTTTATTGTGATTTCCTGGAATTGTTCGTTTACCGAATTGGCAACACCTATGGAGGTGAGGCGACATGTCCCCCTTCTTTCAACACAATAATTTTCAATTATAGCTGCATATTTCTTGAAACATGAAAACGTTTCATTCTTTAGACGTCCATGTAAAGCAGTTAAATCAAACAAAAATCTTTGCAAAAAAACATTGATACATTGATTGCTGCACCACCTAGTAGCGGTTAATCGAACTAATAAAGTTTTTTTTCGCCACTTAACACTGATTAAAATAAACAGAAAACATTCTATATATTCGTAATAGAACAATTTGGACACAGTAGGGTTACAATGAATGTAGTGATGTTTTATCATTGTGTGTGTGTGTGTGTGTGTGTGTGTGTGTGTGTGTGTGTGTGTGTGTGTGTGTGTGTGTGTGTGTGTGTGTGTGTGTGTGTGTGTGTGTGTGTGTGTGTGTGTGTGGTGTCGATGGAAATACTAAGTCATTACTTGGTAATGAGGACCGAAACATTATGTATAATATCCGTTTCTCATGCTAAAATCTCAGTAGTTATCGCATCTACTATTCCATAAGTCGTGGCGTTTCTCTGAGGAGTCGCATCCACATTCGAACAGCCTAGAGAGAAAATAAACGTTTGCTTGTTTCAACTCGAGGAACTACTACCTGGGTGGTTTCAGACAAGATGAATATCAAAAGTCTAAGAACTTACACCCAATGCATTTGCTGTACGATATGTAATATCTTGATTAAAAAAAGAAAAATGTACATTCTGAGGAAATGGGCAGTTCGTCTCGCGCTATATTTATGTCATTCATTAAGTCTTTATTTCCTCTTGATTGTTTTCGTATAGTAACTTCATATGTTTCAAATCGATAAAATGACTTATTTTCCTTTCCTCAAATCCAAGCATTGATTCAATAAACAGAAAATATGCTGATCTCATTTTAGAGCAACTTAACGCGTAGCAAGACTACAGTGACTGTGTTCATGTGCGTGTGTGCTAAGGAAGTATTTTAAACGTTTTATTTTGAATCACTGGTTTTATAGTTGATACACATTTCGAATCCCTCCTCGCGTAGAATATCATAACATGTAGTTGACAAAAAAACAAAACAAAAAAAAACGTGTGTGTGTGTGTGTGTGTGTGTGTGTGTGTGTGTGTGTGTGTGTGTGTGTGTGTGTGTGTGTGTGTGTGTGTGTGTGTGTGTGTGTGTGTGTGTGTGTGTGTGTGTGTGTGTGTGTGTGTGTGTGTGTGTATAAATATATGAATATACATAGATATTTTTTTTCGATTTTTCTTTGCCGGGGGATTCAGTAAATCGAATAATTGCAAGGGTGCTTATTAATTTTGAAGATATTTTTACTATCGGTTTATTTATGAAAAGAAAAAAAAGGCAATGATTGTAGAAAAGAAAGACCAATACGGATAATAAGAACAATCTATCGTTATTCAAAACTTCGTCTAATACCGGGACAGAGAGATCACTCATGAGGTTCCCTTCGTAACAGTTTCCATTCCTTTTAACATGATCTGTTAGCTGCCGGGAGGTTCTTTCAGTAGCCATTTCCCAAACACTGACAATATTCGGCCAAACATTTTTCATCGGGTCTGAGCCACATGCCTTGCTTGGCCGCGGAAGGACTTCCGTGTGGTTTTGGTCATCGAACCTTTTCGTAACTGCCCTCGATGTGTAATGTGTTATCCTGCACGAATAGGGTTGTTTCTGGGAAGAGCCAAAGGAGAACAATGTGCTGATGGGAGAGATATTTCCTTTAACATTGTCTAAATATATCTAAACTGAATTTCCATTTTTTTTCGGCGAGTTTGCCATGCATGAAAATCCACCCACTCATTATTGGTCACGTGGCCACTCCTCACCGTTTCACAGATATGTCGTCTGTCACAACTAAAAGGTAAATAATGATAGACAATCAGATAAAAAATATGACCTATAAACATATATCTCTATTAAAATTTGAACTAAATCTATAAGCAAATTGAAGAAGGATAATGATATTTACATCTGTTATTTCTCATACAGCAGTGGAGCTTTCCATGCGCTCTCCACATGCTGCTCAACGAACTGTTCAACCTCTCTTTGAGAACGTTCTGTGGCGAATCCTATCTGCATGTAATCGTTTTGCGGCTTGTTAGCGGAAGTTGTAGGTCTTTATATGAATTTCAGCTGCCTTGGTGGAGGGGCTTCCGGAACGAGGGCGGGCGTTCAGGGTGCCCTCCTCCCCCACCTTAGTCACCTGTATGCCATCGAGCGGGAGATACACGGCTCTCGGTTACTTCACTGGGAGAGAAATTGCTTTCCCTCATCCCAGTGATGCGGCCTCGATTTGCAATTTTAGCTTGCCTTCCGTTCATCTTGAAAAAAGAGTGTCAGCTTGGCAGCCTCGTTTTCACTTCGGATTTCCCATATGCCATTATAAGGTCATACATCATCACACATGTTCTTTCTTGCTTAGCATATATTAGGATTAGCCGCGAAATAAATATAAATATTTATGAAGATTCGTTATGCTACTTTTATTTTTTAGATGGTTCTCTTTCTTCAAACTACTCAAGTTACGGGTGAGCAAACAAGACTTTTCACATACCGGAAAATAAATATTTCTATTGTAAACATATGAAGATTATGTATCAAAGCTTTGGGATGCACTGGTAAATTCAAGGGAAATATAAATTGCATGCGTGTCAAATAAAAGTAGAGAGAGAGAGATTGAACTCCTATTTTATCAGAATGATCAAGATTTTTCCAACACATCAGACATATTACAGAGCATGGATTGAGAGCAAGTTTTTCAGACTTGTTCACTCTTCTTGGAATCACCCAGCTAGTAGTTGCTCGAGATAAAACAAGCAAACATGTATTTTCTCGCTCAGCTGATCGAATGCGACTAAGAGAAACGCCACGACTTACGGAATAATAATAGCGAAAATTATGGTCAGATTTTAGCACAAAATAAAAAGCATTCAGAATAATCGAGAATTATACATATTGTATAACTACTTATCACCGAATATTGACTTCGTATTTTACTAAACATTGCACACATTGCGAATGTTC